CGCGGGGGGGGGGGTGGGGGGGGACACACCACTTCCTTATTTTCATTCTGGATATAAGTGTCCTGGAGAGATGCTCTGTAGGGGACCTTGTGGCTTTCTTGGGTAGCAGCCCAGAGCCCTGAGCAGTGAGCATGGGCTTGGATGGCCTTGTGGCCTGAACACATCCCTGTCACAGCAGCAGTCTCCCCGGGGAATGACTAAGGATAGTTGAGGCATTTACAGACACTTAAAGGGAAAGTGCTACAGGCACTAAGAGGCAGGGGGGGACTTGGACTCCCAGTCATCGCTGAGTTTCAGCCAAGCTCAGTCATTTGGGCAGGTTATGACTTCTCCATGAGCCTCAATATCTTTACCTATAAGATGGGATGAAATTACACACAGGCTTTGGCTTCAGAAATAATTGTGTTGTTCAAGGTCCCGGCAGTAGATGCAATGGTTGTTGTCACCCATAGCCAGTAGAGGGCACCAAACTAAACGAAACGAGACCACCAAGCTCCTGGGGACTGGAAAGTTATAAATTAAATTACACTTTACCAGGTATTTGGGAGCCATCATCAAACAAAAGCGAATTGATAGTGGTACAAACAGCACATCAAAGAGGAAAACATCTGGACTTGTGTTCTTGCCCTGGACAGAATTGGGGCGCTATTTGACCTTGACAACGATAATCTATATCTGGACTCCTCTCTTCTTGGAGACCAAGATGGTGAGTGAGGCCAGGGTACCTCTGAGAGACTTCCAGCTGTCTATCACCAAGTATCGGGTAGAAATCAATACCGGGCAGCATCCAGGTGCGGAGGTCGGGGAGAGTAGGGCCCTAGCTAACCTCTGCACGCCCTCCCCCAGGCTGTGCTGGTGATTTGGTCCTGGTCCAGGGAAGGGCGCAAGGACTCATCCCGATCTCACAAAGGAGTGCTCTCTCAGAGACCTGGGTGGCAGCGTTTTCCTGCAGGAGCACGATGCTTCCCCAAACCTTTTGTGCTGGTTGCCGCTGCAGCCACCGAGACCACCCAGCCTGACAAAGAAAGGAATTCTTGTGTGCAGTTGACAGCCCTCAGGTTGACGGCTCTGCTTTTGCCCGGGAGGCTGTCACTCGCAGAACAATGGCAGCGAGCAGGGTGGCTCTCACCTGAGACAGGCGCTGCCGCCAGCGAAGGGGGAAGCGCGGGTCCTCGCGCTGTCAGAGAACCCGCCCGGCTCATATATATATATATATGAAAACAAATTTCAAAAACATTGTTTGGGGTGAAAGAAGTCTTTCATGTCTCATGAAGTCTTATCTATGTATATGTGCTCTCAATTTGATGCATAAATAAATGAATACATACCTCATTGTTTCCGTTTCTGGGAATTTCTAAAGCTGGTGAAATTAAGCAGGGGCACCAAAACTCGGGCAACTGGCTGCTGCCTGAGCGGCAGAGGAAGGCTTGATTGCAAAGGGATGTGGGGTACTTTCTGGGGGATTGAGCTATTCCATGTCCTGATTGAGTGACAACCGTGTATACATGGTTCGTACACATCATTGTAAGACGAGTTAACGGCTTTCTTTAAATTCTCTGATTTTACACTGTGCAAATTTCACTTTGATATCACTGATTTTTAAAGATGATTGGCAAACAAATTATGACTTTTCTTATTCTCAAAAGAATAGTGTGTTGGCTGGGGCTGTAACTCAGACATAGAGGGACTGTGTTTAAAAATACCCTAGGTCCCAAACCCTGAAAAGAAAAATCACAATAGAAGACAGCAAAAATACAGATGGTTTACAAAAATGGAAATGAAATTCAACCATAATCTCATTGCCTGGAGATTTACATGGCTGTCATTTTATATTAACATTACCACTACTTTATTTTCACCAAAACAAATTTTTTCTCATCTAATTTATTTAGAAAACAATTTGAGAGCATATATATATATATATATATATATATATATATATATATATATATAA